CTCTGGAACTATTAAAAAAATAAAAAGAATAAATAAATAATTCTTTTTAAAAAGTAGGAACTCCAACAGGTATCTGTATGCTCATGTCCACAGCAGTGGGACCACAGCGTTCAGGACATGGAAGAATGCCAATGTCCACTGAAGGATAGACAGACAAGCAAAAAGTGGTACATTCATGTAAGGGAATATTATTCAGCCTCAGAAAAAAAGAAAATGGGGGCTGGCAGGTGGCGTGGTGGTTAAGGACACTGGACTCCCTTATGGCCGGTACAGTTCGAGGCCTGGACCTGGCAGCTTCCTTTCTCGCTTTCCCTCTCTCTCTTTTTCGCTCTGTTCCTCTCTGGTCAAATTAAACAGATAAAGTTAAATTAAAAATTATTCTTAAAAAAAAGAAAATTTTTACATATGGTACAATATATATGAACCTTGAGGACACGGTGCTGAGTGAAATACACCTATCACAAAAGACAGAGACGGCAAGATTCCACTCGTATGAGGTGACTCAAGGAGTACGGTGGTGGCTACCGGGGTCGGGGAGATGGATGGTGGCGATGGTTGTAGAACCATGTGAATGTATTTATTGTCAATGAACAGCAAACTTAAAACTGGTTAAAATGATGAATTGTATGTTTTACAATGATAAATTTTTAAAATAATTATTTTTTATTATTATTATTAAAATTTGCTATCAGACACATGCACTTATCAGAGAGAAGGAAGTTGAGAAAGCAAGCCACCAGGTCTTGAACTATAGTCTGATAAAATATTGTTAAAAAGTTAATACATGATTCTCTCTCTTTAGTTGAAAACTCTCCATTGGCTTCCCACTTCACCATGCTGGACCACAAGGCCTGGCATAGTCTGGCTCCACTGACCCCTCCCCAGCCTAGACTGCTCCCTCCCACTCCTTTCCCTAGCTGCCAGGCCATGCTCTGGCAGCCTGCCTGGCTGCTGGAAGCCATCACCACGGTGAGCTCTGGTCTGCCCCTTGTATTCCTGTATTAAAGCCATTATCTATAAGACAGTCTGGCATAATCTTATTTTCACAATTTGTATTATTACATTTTATCAAGCTAAATGATTCTCATTACTAAATATTATTAAGCATATCTAGCCATGTAAAGCATAATAAAACATGGCCTCAGCTCTTAAAAATCTTCCTCCCTAATTCCATTCCCAATTCACTTCAATGAAGATTCTTCTTCCTTTTTGGAGAAGTGAATGCCTGTTTCTTGCCTGAGGCTTTATATGCAAGTTTGTGTGTTTGTTTTGAAGTTTGCTATAGGGTATTATGTGCTCATCCAAGAGAGACAGAGAAGGAAAGTGAAAAATCACCCCCGGGGGTGGGGGTGGCCACACTGTGAGATTTCTTCTCTATTATCCTCTTGGGATATTCGGCACGCATGTGCGCGTGCACACACACACACACACACACACGCACGCACGCACTCACGCCCGCCCGTGCTGCTGGGTGTTTTCCAAGTCCCCAGGTCCAGGACTGGAACAGCAGTCAACTCCATTGGAGTCCAACAATGTAACCATTATGCCATCTGCTGGTCCCATCCTTTGCTACTGTTCTCATGCAATTTGATAGCTTATTAGTATGAGCTACTTTTTTTTTTTTTCTCGAAGGTTTTTGTCACAGGACACATGTTTTCACCAGAGATCATGAGAGGGGAAGTGAGAGGGGAAGAGAGAAAGCACCACCCAGAGGGAATGGCCACATTGCGCTCCCTTCTCCATTCTCCTACTGGGATTTTGGGCACGCATACACATGTGGTTGGTGGGATTTTTAAGCCACTGTGTCTGGGCTTAAAAATCCCCTATCGGCCATGTGGGAATCCGGCACCTTAACCACCAAGCCACCTGCTGGCCTCAACCACTTTCTTAGAACATCTTTCTGAGTCAGACACTTTGCTAAATCAGTGGGCGTAAACAGGAGCAAAAGACCACTCTTAAGCTACGCTGTGAGTCCTGGGTCACAAACACAAATGCTCACTGGGTCCAAGCACTGGCGGAAATGGCTGAAGCAGAAAAATGAATGAGAGAGAATGGTGGGGCCTGTGGCAAGCCCAAAGCATGGCTCACCCAACAGGAAAAATCTCTCGCTGTGCATCAGCGTGGTTTAGTATTGCTCCCACTCTTCACATTTGGATTTGTGAAATCTATTTACAATGTGGCAGCTCAGGGGTTACTGGCTTTGTCTAACCATTCCTTGCCTTAAAGCGCACTTTTCCCCTCAGTGTGTATCAGAATGGATGGGAGAGCCTTTGCTCCCAGCATAGGCCCTGGGCATAAATCTCCATCGGTAAGGACCAGCTAGAGGTCGCAGGCCCTTTGGCTCGCGACTGGTTTCAGTGAGCCAATGACCCAGCACTGACACCTGACAGAAGCATGCAGGCCAGTGCTGTGGTGCTGCAGGTGCTGCAGGGGGCTGGATCCCACAAGGTCGCCTACACAGCGAGCCTCAGACCTGGTGGTCTGAAAACACGCTGGGTGAGCATGTGCCTGAGATCCTGAGGGAGGACAGAGAAGGTTATGGAGTGGCTATTCGTCCTGGATGTTGCTTTTTCACGTTTCCTCTTTTTCCAGCATATGCCCCATATCAAATGAATAAAAATAAAGGGACTAGCAGTTAGCATAATGGCTATGTTGCTGGACTCCCATGTAGTTGACCACGGTTTGCGTCCAGGACCTGGTGGCTTAAAACTCGCGGCGGGCTCATGTGCGTGCATGCCCAAGATCCCGAGAGCAGAATGGACGAGAAGGGACTGCGATGTGGCCATCCCCCCTGGGGGGTGATTTCTCGCTTTCTGTCTCTCTGTCTGGCAAGTGCACGCGTCCTGGAGCAAAAACCTCTCAAAAAAAAAAAAAATAAAATAAAATAAAATATATAAATAAATAAAAATGGAAGAATGCTAAGATCTTCCCTTCTGCAATAACAAGACAAAGCCATGAGGGCAGTGGAGAAAGAGCCTTTATTTTTATTTTTTTGTAGAGGGTTTTTTTATAGGGTGCATGGGCTTGCCAAAAAGACAGAGACAGAGAGACAGACAGAAAGCAAGAAATCACCCCCCAGGGGAGATGGCCACGCCGTAATCCTTTCTCCTCCATTTTCTTCTCAGGATCTTGGGCACGCACACACACCCGGTGTGAGTTTAAGCCATAGGGTCCGAGACTCGAACCACAGTCAACTACGTGGGAGTCCAGCAGCATACCCATTACGCCATCTGCCGGTCCCAAAAGAGCCTTCAGACTATTGCCCTTTCTGCTTGTTCCTGTCTAATCTAGTCATGAAGTCTGGGGCAGCAGCAGCCATTACGGAAGCATGAAGCAATAAGCATGAGCCCTAAAGTCAGTATGCTAAGAACGACAAAGTCGAAAGACCAGAAGATCCATGGTCCCTGCTCGCATCCTTGCTATGTAAGTTCCAGATGTGGCCACGGGCACTTCACAGGCTTGACGTGGGCTTAAAGTCTGGCTTTTCACTCACTTCCTGAAATCTCTAGTGCAACCAGAAGGCATTGCCCATCCCACCAGCCTGTGGGCACACTTCTGCTCTGACGGTCACTGTGACAGCCTTCCTCCAACGGGCACTATCTAGGCAAGACAGTGGTCATTGAAGTAACTGCTTTGCCAAGGCCTGCTGGCAGTCAGGCCATCTCACTGCCACAACCAATTCAGAATACCAGCCTAGGTCCTAAGTTTTGCTGGTCTGTTCTCTGAGGCCTAGAAACCACGCCAAGGACCACATACACTCAACACTCAGAAAGGCGTCAGCTCCCCTAATACTTCAGAGGGGGACGCAGTGCCAGGAATTGTTGCACAGGTGTTGAAAGAACTGGAGATACTAATGGAGATGCTCTGAAGCACAAGGGAAGGGGCGATGCTGCTAGAGACCAGGAGGCTGGCACTGTCCCGATTGAGCGTCTTTGGCCACACTGCGGCTGAGCTGTAGATGCTGCTGCTGCGTAAACGGGACCCCAGGGCACAGTGCTGTGCTGCGGCTGTTCCGTGACCCCAAAACATCACTTTCACACAGGCAGATAAATGATGTCTTCATGCCGACACAGCCTAACAGGTGCTTCCCATTGGCAGAACCTAACCAGAAGCCCATTGGTGGGGTTCTGGGAAGTATAGAGAAGGGCCTTCTGACACCTGGGGACACAGAGAAGGGTACAAGGAAGCACCAGAAAATAGCCAGCACACCCCTTTGGGCGCTCTGAAGAAAAGGAGCGCTCTCAGCAGAATAACTCCGTGTTTTGTTACCAAAGGGTGTGGGACTTGCCAGAAACAGGCAGGGAGAGGGACAGAACACTGCTCCCATGTGCACTGTCCCTCCCCTTCTTCACACTGCAGATTTGGGGCAGGCACCCACCCAGCAGGTTTTTCAGGGCTGGAATTCAAAGTGTGGCAGACCATGTGGGACCTGGTTTCCTCAACTACTAGGCAAGTGGCCCAGCCACTAGAAGCGCACAGAAATGCCCAAGAATTATAGTCCTGAATTTTCCTGTCCTGGACTAACTAAAGCTTGGTTCTCTTTTCCCCTTAAAAATGCAGATTTCCTTCTTTGCCCTTCTCCCTACTTCTCAATTGGTTAATAAATGCAAACATTACAAGTCTACAACTGAGCTCCTTCCTATTCTCCTTCACTTCTTTTGGCTCTTTTCCTTTGTTTACCTCTCCAGAAGCTTCCTTTTGTGTTTTCTTTTTTTTCTCCAGAATTATTCATTTAACTTAGTTAATTCATTTTTTAATTTGACCAGAGAGAGACATACAGAGAGAGAGTGCAAAGCAAGGTGCCAGGTCCGAGACTTGAATCATGGTTGGACTTATGGGAGTCCAGTGCCTTAACCACCATGCCACCTGCCAGCTCCTATTCTTTCTTAATCTTAACTCACCCTGCTCTCAAGCACACTCAAAAGACAAAGACAAGCCATACAAACAATAACCAAAGAAACAAAACATCCCGAACTTTAGTTTGTGTGACCCAAAAATACCTTGTCGAGTAGCTTGTTCTGGTTTATTCTGGGCAATTTCTTGTCCTTGTCTTCTGTGGACATTAAGGGTTTTCCCATTTAGGAGAGGCAGGGAGGGAGAGCCATGAGCCTCCTTTGATTAAGAGTTGGCTCCTGTGGGGACCAGATGGTGTAATGGTTACATTGCTGGACTCCCACAGTCAACCGCAGTTCGAGACCTGGTCCTACGGCTTAAAACTCACACGGGGTGCATGTCTGTACGTACCTAAGATCCTGAGAGGAAAATGGAAAAGGGACTGTGGTGTGGACATCTCCGGTGGGGAAAATTTCTTGCTTTCTGTCTGTCTCTCTGAGGAATGCACACGTCCTGTAACAAAAATCACTCTTAAAAATTAAAAAAAAAAAATAATAAAAATTAAAAAATTCGGTTCCTGGGGCCAGATAGTGGGGTGGTAAAACCAGTGTGTGAGGCAACCCCTCAAAGGAAGGTTCCCTGTTCGAGTCTAGAGACCTGCCTGAGTGCCCGGGGCCAGTGGTGCCCATGATCTCCCTGCTGGCTGAAGGTGGGTGTGGGCTGTGGCATCGGGACCCTGCAGGGGCTGGTCGCTCTGTCTCTTCTTCATGAAATTGTACATTTATTTTTTTTTCCATGACAGAGACATCCCTACCAGGGTCTTCACCTTGCTGCAGCCGGGGTCTCAGCAGGCATGGTCGAGAGGTCCCCCACACATGGTCCAGTTGTGTACCACTGCCACACACCTGGCCCCTTGGGGAGTTCCAAGGTCTCCAAGTCCTACTGACCAGACTTCTGGCTACCTCCTGCCATCCTTTACCTAACTCCTTTCACCTTAGCCAAACTGCCCTTCAGACGCCAGGCACCTACCTGGGCTCTGCTTGGGACCTCAGGGGCCGTCTCCATCCCTAACCAGCACAGCCCCTTAACAACTGAAGAGAGCCCACCGTGCCTTCCATGGTTACCTGTTCTTGGAATAAACAGGACCCAGCCCTCAGCTACCGCTCAGACCTCACCTAGCACACCTTGCTGCCCAGGGCGGCGTCTGCGCTCCCCACGTGAGCGCAGAGGGAAGGGGCTCGCTCAGCCTCCCGTCGGCTTGTTCCCCACTGGCGCCCTGGTGAAACTACCGGTACTACAGTGCTCCGACTCCTTCCTGCTCAGCAGGTCTCACACCCAACAGCGAAGCACGTGCTCGCTCGCTGGCCGGTTCTACCCTCCACCCGGGAAGTGTGACTCGGTGTTCGCACCTGCGTCCCGGGGCGGGCGGGCACCTCCTGAGCGGCAGCCCGGAGCGGGGCGCCTTCCCTCGCCAACGGCTACGACTCTCGGCCGCTCCCCGCCGACTTCCGAAAGCCTCTCTCCACCCACCCTCCTCCCCTCCGCTGCGAGCCCGGGTCCGCACCGC